GGCCTTCGTAACTAGAATAGGGTTTTGGGGGGTATGTCCTAGTATATTCTGCAGAAGTGGAGTTGAGGAACCCCAAGGAATACCATTGTTGAGTAGTCAGGCTTCTATGTTACGGCTAGCGTCTGGGTCGAGTCTGGGGTGAGGGGGTTTAGGTTGTATCTTTATCGGCTTGGCTACTGGGGCCTTCTGAGCGTCCAGACGAGGACAGTGTCAGATTCGGTCGCATTGAAGATTGTCCTAAGTAGGCTTCCTCTGCAGGGCATGGTGCTGAATGTTCGGAGCAGACCCCATGTGCCTGATGGTGCTTGCTGGCTTTCTTTGGCGCTTCCTGCCATCATTGCCGCAACGCGCAAAATCAAAATGTTGCGCACCATGTCACCGCAGCACCTAGACTCTAGACCCAGATTCCTGGATTCCATTGAAGCAGAAGTTGCAATTAAGGAAACAGAAACATAAAGGCACCTCAATAGAAGATCTGGGAAGCTGTCACTCTGAGGCCATGGGAGCGTAGCTCCCGGCGATTCCAGATCTGAGCCGGCCCATCAGCTTTGTCATGGCCGGGTAACATTTTAAATTCTACTTATATGAGTACTTCAACACAACAAGGAATAGTAAGTTGATTTGTTTATACTAGCTATCTCAACCATGAACCAGTTAGCGAGCACAGCTGAGTTTTCAGGAATGAACCTTTAGGGTTCCATACACCCCGACCCTGACCTCCAAGCCCGGGCTGGCGGTGCTTTGAGATTGTAGACGGTGGCATGTGTTGCTCAGTCCGAGTGTGAGAGCCTATTCCGTAGACTGCTGTGGGAGCCAGCAGTATGATCAGCGCTGCTTGCTTAGTGGAAGGTTAGCTACGACTTGTGATATGCCAGTCTGGCCATTCCGGTAGTACTAGGACTAGGAATGTAGCTGCCGTGACGACTTCAACGATGTATACTTGGGCTCAGTTCTTGAGAGTAGGGCCCTACACAGCCATCCATCCACGTCGATGCATTGACCGAAGGTCTTATGGCGGAAAATGGACCCACTTCCCTTTCAGCCAGCGCTCATGAAAGAATGATGACATGCAGACACAACTCTGACTTGAAAGAGCTCGCAGCTTTACATAAAGAGAGCCTTGAGTTGCGTCTGGCTTTAGTTCCAGACAGCCTCAGCCTGCTGCTCTCCACCTGTCCAATCCGATTGCTTTGCCGGGGGCTCCCCTAAACCCCAAACCCTAAAACCCTGGCCTGCAAGGCAGGACTTACGCTTTTCGGAGTGCAGGGTGTGCCCTGGCACAGGCAGGGATTCTTGATGGCAGCAGTCGGCTCGAATACATAATACAACTCCCAGATCTCCTAAGGTCTCTCCAGGCCCTCGTCTTCTCAGCTACCCTCACCTTTGCCAGCCCCTAGCCTGTTCAAAAGCTAGGAAAAAGCTGAGAGAATTCGGGATTCCTTGGCGCCAGCCTCGACCTGAGTCTCGCCAGCATGGCATTTGGCATGGCTCCGCGCACCGAGATGGATCGTGAGCAAGAAGCAGGCGAAGGGGTTTAGGGCTTCCCTGCTGTAGTCGTCGACGCATGTTTTCCCTGGTCTTCAGCAAGGCCATAAGTAGCATATCGTGTCATCACGAATCACGACACTAGTCGTGATGGTTTCAGTCGTGACCGGCAGGGTGCATGCAGCAGTGGCATCGGCACAAGCAAGCGGATGCTGTTGATAGTTTTGCCTTGGCTTAAGATTGGCTTCGAGCGTCTCTCCCTTTCCTCCTGGCTCTTGCTATTGGTCATGATCATAGGTTCATGGCCGACGTCATGATAGTTTCTTGTCTATAGGCAGACGCACACACACAAAAACAAAATCAGAGCAGACGTCTGAATGCACTCTTCTGCATGACACCGCAGGCTTCCACGGGCTACTCCACAGCCAGCTGTTGGCCATCCAACAGGTCCCCCCTGCGATCATCCTCATTGGCACTATATTGGGGTTTCCGAAAATAAGGGGTCCCCTAGTTTGGGGTCCTTATAGTAAGGATCCTACTATTGGGGGTATAATGTTAGGGTCCCCTTTTTTCGGAAACCCCCATATGATTATCACTATTAAGGCTTGGATATGAGGGTGAAGGTCTTTCAGGGTTTTTCGAAGGACAGGAGCTTGCACAGGTCTTGCTACATCGGTTCCTTGGCAAGGAAGAGGAGGTGCTTGCTGGCACAAGCAGTTTCTTTGTTGGCCTTTCTCTGACGGAGGTGATGTCGCTGAACCAAGCACTGACCAGGCGGGCTTCGGGTGCCAGAACGTTGATACATTTTTGAGCTTTCCGTGTGTCAAGATGAGGACGAGGTGCCGGCTTCAATGTTTGGCGTTTGGGACCACGTTGCAAGCGCCATGACCTGCACAAAGAGCTCAAAACTGTATAAAGTGACGCAGGCAGCTGCAAGGCAGCAATGGCGTTGGCGGCGCCCAGGCCCAAGTCGCCAGGCCGTGCTTGCTGGCATTTCGCTGCCCACTCTGTCTTCGAATTCCGCAGCTTGTCCCCTCCACTCTGCTGGAAGCACTACAAGTTGCACCCGCCAGCACTAGCTTCCAATAGAACCAGAGTCCTGAAGCACAAGGTTTAAGATGCCGCAGGTGAAGGTTTGGTCGCGGAGGGCTTGATCTGTCGTCCATTGTGCGAGTGTCAGGCGGCCTAAGCCTGCCGCGAGCTGTTCCGATTTGGGGGGTTTGCGAAAATAGGGGACCCTAATATAGTAACCCTGAATATTAGGATCCTTAGCATAAGGACCCCAAATTAAGGTACCTCCAATTTTCGGAAACTCCCAATCTGTTCCCCACATCTCCTGCAGGACCGAGGCATCGCGTGCATCCTCGTCGCCTTTGACGGAGCCGCTGCTGCCGATCAGCCCTGGGGCAAGTCCGAGTCACCAGTCCAAGGCTTGCCAAAAGCCTTGGGGCCTACCTATAGGCCCCATAATAGTTCCTTTTTGGGATTCCCTAATAGCATAGGATTCTAAATATGAACCCAAAAAGGAACTACTTTAGGGCCTATGGGTAGGCACTAGAACAAGCTACAATCAGGTCAGTTATAAGATCAACCTATTGGCTTGTTGTTTCTAGCTGTTCGTGTTGTAGCCTTAGTAACACTGGTACCACTAGCTATAAGTACCTCAAAGCCGCGACGCAGGAAGGAGTTTTGAGCAGACTGAGCTCTTCAAGATTGTGCGTACTTAGCCCTGCGCATCTCACCACGAGTGCGATGTGCTGCCGGACATCTGGCCGGGCGAGCACTAATCAATCCTGTTTCAACAATTAAGGGTTTAGGGCTTAACGCTTGCGAGTTTCAGAGTTCTGGCAGGGCTTCAGCCATGCGAGAAAGGGTAGTCGCACAACCGGTAGGGAAGATCGATATCCCTTCCCTTACAAGACCTTTGTGAAGGTAACCTTCCAAAATCCCGTCATAAGACCCCTAAAGGAACTCCCACATCCCCCCTTCAAGACCTGAAGGAACCCTTCAATCCCCTGAGAAGACCCTTATACCGGAAGAACTAAACCCCTAATGTAGGAGCCTAAATAATTACCAATTTCTATTTGGGGTTCCTTATTAGAATTATAGTATAACAATATACCTCAAAACCCTATTCTAATCATTAATAAACCCTTATACCAGCCCTTATAATAGAGGAATCCCCCCAAAAAAATCCCTATTCTAACTATGAAGGCCCTTGCGTTAAGTTCAGCGCCGGTTCGAAAAGTCGGAAAGGCCAACGGCATCGACTTAGAGCGGAGCCCGCTCGGGGCCCGGCGGCCGGGCAAGCAAGCTTAATATAGGTGGTTCTCTAAATTAGGGTCCCTTTTTAGGGTCCTTTTTATAAGGGTGCCGTGTTATTTGGGGGACCCAAAAAGGGACCCTAATTTGGAAAACTACCCATACAGGGGCCGAGTACTATTTTGGGGGTCCCTTAAGCTTATAGGGACCCAATACCAATACTATTTTGGGGCCCTAGCTTTGGGTTTCTGACCACTTGGGGACTTCGGGTTTAAGGTTTAGGGTAAGGGTTGCTGCAAGGGCTTTGAGTCTAGTGCCCCTTCGGGACTTTTAGGGTTTGGGTTTCAGGTTTGGTCAATTCCTGTTGCAAGGGCTGCGTACTATGGGAGATACTATACGGGAAGCCTTAAGCCCAACAGCCCTATAACCCTAGGCACCCGACACCGGACAAAACCAAAACATGGGCCCATTGAATGTGTACATGGAAGCAGTTTCCGAGGGCCCCAAAGCCTTGGCATTCAGCCACCTCCGAAGTGGCCGAGAGCATTCGTTATTTTCTGGGGTTACTGAGTCCATCATGGGATCCCATGAACAGTTCTTGATATATGACAATGTGAGCCTGCAGGCATATAGTAGGCGGGCAGGTGTTTGCACTTGGTGGATCAAGGGGTTGGATGTGCAGCTATTCTAAACGACCAGCTGCCTGTAGCTAAGACCATAACCTGTGTACTTATTCCTTTGGTGCCTGGAGATATTTTGTTTAATCAGGTTGTGCATCTTGTGGGATTGGATTCGGCCTTTCTTTTCGGAAGACTTTCGAAGCGTGATAAAGTATTATCTTACATAACATATAGAAGGCACGTCTCAAAAGATACGGTTTGAGTACACACACATCTGATGAGACCTATGTCTCTTGATTTGGGTGTGTATGTATACACACATACCTTCGGATTTTTCACACGAAAGTCGGCACATCACCTGAGGCCTCAGCTGCCTGTCTCGTTCTCTCGAGATTCACTGCGCAGCCATGCTTCCCGGCTCCGGTTTCAGATTTATTATACGTGGTTAGCGGTCCGAGGAAGTAGAACCATGTTGCAAGCCACATATTGGGACACTTTCAACTTGAAGGATCCAGCTTCGGGCTGCTACTGTATCGATTGATCTTTCTCCTAGACAGCATTTCGCTCGAGTTTCTGACGAACCAAATTCGTCGATTGGTCCTGCTCCACCGATTTTTCGGCGAAGTTTTGTCCAGTTGCAACCCTGCCACACGGGCATCGCCCTGGCCAAGCAGCACTGCCTAAATTCTTCGTGGGACGTAGTGTATCAGGGTAACTCAGCTCCACTTGCTATCCTGGAAGGCTTTGCAATTCGGCTCGCGCTGCAGGCAGCGCGGTCTGGTTTCCTTCAAAGAGAATTCGGGCTACATGGCAATCCATGTTTGGTTATGGCAAGCCACGGTCAGAAACAACTAGTAAGAAAATTGCCGCAAGAGTAGCAACTATAATGTCACTTCGTCATCATTCGCTTTTTTTTCGACACCTCAGCCCGGAAGCCTTTGAGGAACACTTTCTGTTTCAGAGGCCTCACGACTGTTGCTCGATGATGCGGCCTGCTCCTTGCATACACGCGGGGTCCAGACTCGTAGGGCATGGATCTTATCAAGCTGGGGCTTGGAGTTGTGATGAGTGGCGACAAGTGCATTCTGCGGAGGCCTGGAACGAAGCGGACAAATTGAAATCTCCAGCTGCCCACAAGCTCTCTCGCGAGAAGATAGGATGCATAGCTACGCTTACAATTGGTTGCAGGCGCGCTGCATCGAGGTTGGCAGTGGAGGTGCTTGCGCTTCCATCCGTATAGTCGTAGTTGTAAGTCCGGAGGTTTCGGATAGCACTGAAAGACTCAGCATTGACTTCTTTGGCCGTTGACAACCGAACGACTTTAGATCGCCTGTGCACGTGGGATGACGGGTAGGATTTGCATTGAGGAGCCCTGTCGCTAGAGCAGGCGCGGATAATTAGCAACGGTGGTTTCCTGCAAGGGGTTATATGCTGTTGTGCCATAGTTACTCCTGGAGTTTGCATACCATTGCCCGTGATCTTGGAACTGCCCGAAAAAGAGTTGTCGCAGAAGCCGTGGCACCTTGCCATCGGTTTGGTTTGGGAAGCATGCCCGAGCTTAACGAGGGATTAAGCTCCAGTGCCTTCGGCCAGTCTCCGATGAGTCCGACGAAAAGCATTTCCATGTCGCGGCACCTCTCGCTGCTTGGATGTGAAGTGCCTGTAGGCTTGCAATGGCTTGCACAGGCCATTCATACAGAATTAGCACGGCCTACAAGCAGCCACATTCACAGTTGTTGACAGTATTTTATCGGCTTTGAGCATCGAAGATCCAGCAGGCACTGGTTGACGAGGCCGGCATGCTTTCAGACGTAAGCATGATTCCACCGAGGAAGCCGGTGCTGACGAAACCGAAGGAGATCAAATCCCTGGCGTGCCTTGGACAAACAAAGTAGTTGCGATATATTGCGATGCGGTTGTGCGTGCTGGCATCTGCAAGACCTGCCAAAAGGGTGTGGGCTTGCGCACACTTCCGCACTTGAGCTTCCGAAGATGCCAGGGTTGAGATGTTCCATGTTGCACTAGACAGGAAGAGCGTCATGGACAGCATCAACAACAAGGACGTTCCTCGGCTTCGGGATGGTTGCAGTAGAAAACTTTCCCTTAGCGACGGGGGCGTTATGTCACGGCCCAGTCATGGTCTGGGGTGACTGAAGGGCTGCACTGGGGCCTTGTCGCGGTTATTGTAGGTTTGTGTTTGCGTGTGTGTGTATATATATAAATATCAAGCCTCTCAAATATCGTTTGGTTTACCGCATGCAACTTCAGCTGGCATACAGGGCTAGATTGCGAGTAAGATGCTTCCCTGGAAATAGTGTACGTAATGACAGTCAGTCCCTGTATATTCGTATTGCACGGTGAACCTAATCTAGTACCCTAATACGCCGATCCTTATTTTAAGCACCCCAAAATAAGGTACCCTAAGTTTCGGAAACTCCTATACGTCCACCCCCGCATCTCCCCCGATCCCAAGTGAAAGGCTCAAGTCCCCTATAGATTCCACCAGAAAAGCCATAGTTCCATCCCTTCAGGGCTCCGGGGTCGTCCTGGGACTGTGATATACGACATATATTTTGATTATCATATATTTTAATATTTTGTCTTCTATAAATTGAGTTGCTTTAGAATAGAGTTCGCCATGCGGTACCCTACCCCGAAACCCCCGAAGCCCTAAGTCCCAGGTCTTGGATCCGGAGAAGCTTTACTCTAAGACCGGCTGCTGCCAGGCCGCGCAGGGCCCATGCAGAGATGGGTACAGCCTAATGCAGGGGCCTGAATAATAATTCCTCCATTTTTTGGGCAGGTTCCTTATTATAATTATAGTAGAGTATACCATATTACTGAAGGTGAGTGGCATCGTGATTCGAACCCCATCCTGCAAGTTGGGCGGATTGTTGGAAGCAGGTTTTGGGAGAAGAAATCACACTCACACCGCTTGAGCCGTTTAGCAGTTTAAAGAGAAGTGGAACATCCCTATTTGCGTAGGCTGCGAAGGCGATGTTGTGTCACCGTGTAGGCACGCACAGGGTACATTCAAGAGGCAGAAGCCAAGCAATCAATCAAGCTCTGCTTTTGCACGTCTTCCTGGTGAAGGTTTCACTGCTACTAGCTACGACTGGCCAGTGCTGACTACTTAGGGTTTATGCGCCAAGGAGTGCTCTATGGATGCCATAAGCAAAAAATAACTTCACACCGCCCAAGCCCTCAACCCAAAGTCATACAAGGCCATTGCTCGAAGCTCTGTCTTCAAGTCTTTCACAATGGCGATGGCCTCTTGCCTTGCTTGAGCGCATACTCATACAGTAACGAGTGAGTGAGGGCTCCTGGGCTGTTGTCCTCGTCAGCCAATGACCCTCGCAGGATATCAAACAGAAGTTAGCTGAACCTTCGGCTGTTGAAGTGTGGAGAGTCTTGATTCTGAGATTCCTAGATGAGCCAGCTCTGAAAAACATAGTTCTGTGTTGAAGAAACAACCGGCGCAACTTAAGCGCCCCATCTCGGCTTAGCTGTCGTGTATAATAGCGGCCGTAATAAGTAGAATGCGGTTTTCGTGGGTGATTGTAGTCTACTTTGCATAGAGACTATTGGGCTTCTATGTTGGTTCTCGGACCTCCAGCTTCCACCCAGGTCCTGCTGAGCACTTTCTGGATTGCCATCGACACGGACTACAACCAGGGACAGGGGGCCGGGGTGTTCTTCCTCATGGACAATGTGATTTGTGCAGCTTAGCTTCGCACCGAAAGAAGGTCACCGTGCTCCATCTTCGATGTCGTAATATCGGGGCGTAGCCCGTAACTAGTAGCATCCCCTTATGGTTCCGATACACTTGTACTTTGAGCTTTGAGCAATGACAACGATAAATCACGACACCCTTATTACTCTGCTTGTCAAGTCCCAAATACTCGACTGCCAAGGCATATTTCTGCTTCGAGATCACCATTCGATGGCTTGCCTACCAAGTGCCTCGGGATGCCCTCTCGGATAACTCCTTCCTCTTCGACCTCTTCTTGGCTGCTGGAAGCTCAGGGAGGAGAGAGATGGCCAGAAAGGAACATGATTTCGAACCACAAGCTTCTGTAACTACACGATACCGTATGTTTCCCGGATGAGCTGCGTTGTGATTTGAAGTGTCCTGACCTCGACAAACTTCGCATGCATCAACACATGAGCTGGTTACGTTGAAAAAGCGGTTCTTAGTGCCACTGTTCTTAAACATGTTTAAAATTCAGTTCTTAAAGTCACTATAGACTATCGTTATTCTGATTGTTGCTGCCTTTATTGTCCTTGTTCTTCTTCTGCTACAGTAGTTCCCATTTATGTTATCATGCTGTCATGATAAGGATGATGAAGATGTAGAAGACAATGATCATGATGTTGTTGTTGTTATCTGGATATACTTGTTGAGTATTATGTCTTCCTGACAGACAGCAGCCCTATAGCTGTACTGTAGATGCCGTAGACGCCGTGGACACCGCTCGAGGTGTCCATGGCCGTCGAGACCTGGGGCTGGCTGCTGATGGCGGCCGTCGTCGGCTTCGAAAAGCATCATCAGGCTTCACCAGGCCGCTTTGAGCTTTGCAGTCGGGCAGTGTTCTTTCGCATGGACCACACACTGCGCCGCGCTTCAAGACATCGGGGCAATGTGCGGGAGTCCGGGAGCCCCTGAAATCCCAAAGCAAAGCTGGAGCCGTGTTGCCAGACCTCAAATGGTAAACGCTGGAGTCCGAACCATAGTTGACTCTGACCGCTCGGTTTGGTGAACGCATCCGTCTTTCGGGGTCTGGGCTCCAATCGTGCATGCGATCGGCTCCAGCTTCCATGGCTTTGCTGTCTGTGCCCGTAGCTTCAATTCCCAATTCCCATGCTGCTCTATGCTCAGCTTCTCAACTTCATGTTGCAGCTTCAAACACCAAATGAACGGGCACAGAAGACCTTGGGGAAGAAGGGGTATAAGTGCGAGAGGTGAGTCCATGCTGCAAGTGTGCGGAGTTACTCTTGTCGACATATTTACGCGTATGTGTGTCTTTGTATGTGTCCGTCTGTTTGGTCTCTCTGTCTGTGCTTATTTCCTTATCTCTGTGCCTTCTGATAAGCGAAAGATTTGTGAGTGAAGTTGCAAAGCCGATCCCTCCCGCTATGCCTTCAGCCTTTTTGCAGACTTGCGAGGCATCACGCCTTCACTGCGAGCGCTGCGACTGATGCACAGCTGCAGATCTCGTAGGTCATGACAACTTGCAAGGGGAAGTGGTGAAAGCAGGCGGATGATACTCGTATGTCACCGCTAATGCCAATCTACTCTTATTTCGGCATGGCTCGGGAGCTATACTTCGAGGCTTGAAAAGGTTTCCTTCGTTTGCTAATGGCAGAACAAGAGTGACAAGAATACGGCCCCACAGGAGATCCGCTGGACTTGCAGTGAAGCGTTTGCGAGAGGATCACGTGCAGATGTGAGACCTTTGCACATGCTACAAATATCCACAAGTTCTTCTACACCATATTCAATATATATATATATATACACACACAGGTATACGTGTATATAGATTCGTATTTTACGGGTGCATACCTGCAGACATGTACGCACTCATGTATGTGTAGATAGAGCGGGCACATAGCAATCGAGCGAACCCCGGCGTGTTCCTTAGCTTGCAGCATCAGAACGACATCAGACCCTCACCCCGAAGCCCTATTAAAGGCTCACAACTTTCTACAAGGATACGGATTACCCGCGCCTTCCGGATGAGCCGAATCTTCCGCTTTGTCCCAGAGCTGATGATCCTTCTCCATGGCATGTTCCAGGTGACTGCGGGATTTGAAGGACAGTTTGCAGATTCTGCTGCCACTGCCTCCGAAGCAGCACAAATAGCTACGAGCCTGGAGCTACCAGTGCTGCGCAGTAGAGCGTAGGGCAACGACTTTGGCCTCCTGTTCGAAAATTCTGGGATTCGCTCTGGCGCCCAGGCGATCCGCTCGGTCCTCACGACGCTCCTCCTACTCGTTCTTGTAACATACACCTTCGCAGTGGCCATGACGCAGCTGCTCCAGAACAAGAGCATCTGGGTAGATCCTGGAAACCAGTTTTTTTGGACTTTGGCTTGAAACGGAGACACAGCACGTCCGAGTCCGATGTTGAGGAAACTAGGAATTACAAGCGTCTCAGACCAGGTATTGGTGGGGGGCGCTTTGACAGCGTCCCGCAAGCCACGACTTTCTTGCTGTTGCAGACACTCTGTGGTTACTTCGAAGGCATTTCAGACCCTCCCACGATCCGTTTTTCAAGCGCATCCAGAATGTCGCGCTGCAACAACCACAGCTGCGATTGTCCACCCGATTCAGAGTTTCAGCCTGCAAGCTGCCTTAGAGTGAAGTCTCCGAAACTGCAGCTTTGTTGCTGTAATGCTGTCGGCCAAAACCTGGGTGGCAGAAGCTCCCATAGCTAGAGTTTACTAAACATTGCTCGGCATTGCGCTCCACAACCGTTCGAACATTTTGCAAGTGAGCCATTTGAAAACATGCGCTTGTAAGCCCTCCTCGTGTTTATGTCGCGATTCTGCATCAGCAACATCCTGGGCACGGCCACAAGAACTTCTAGACCTGAATGCTCGCGGCATGCCATCATTCAAGTGCTGGAAGTCTGCGATCTGGCAGATAGACCAGCTGGCCGAAGACCCCTAAAGCCGACTTCATTCCGAAAGAGACGGAATGACATTCTTCCAGCAATGCCGATGACGATGCTATCTCTCTCCACAGCTCGCGATACTTCAAGCATTGCAGTAGATCTTCGGGTGTGCGGTCCGTAGTCTGCGCCATGGGGTGCAGCTCGAGCAAATCAGATCCGCAGGTGGTTCCAGTGGGTGTGGCGACCGCAGCCGCGACACCCGCGAGCGAGGCTCTTAGATAGCCAATAGGAAAACTGTACATTTTTTGCCTTGTATAATTCATGTGGTCTATATTTTATGAAGCTTTAGAAGTGTTTTTGGGCCCAGTTGAAGAAGAGAGAGCTTCAGTACAGGAGCCGGGCTCGGGCTCGGCGGACTTTGGCTCCGATGGCGAGGGCGAGGTGCCCAAGGAATCTGAGCCTTTTTTGAGCCTAAGCGGCCATGAAAAGTGGGTTTCATGTCTATGCATGGTCGATGGCACCACGCTGGCTAGCGGAAGCTTTGATAACACGGTGATGATCTGGGACCTCACGGCAAAGCTTTGCAAGGCCACACTGAAGGGCCACACCAACAGCATCAAGGCTCTTTGCAGGATCGATGCCAGTACCGTGGCCAGTGGGGCTCGCGACAGCACGATCAGGATCTGGGACCTTCCCGCCCAAAACTGCAGATCAGAGCTCCGAGGCCACAAAGGTGATGTGAATGCTTTGTGCCGGGTTGATGCTGCGACTTTGGTCAGTGGCAGCTCGGACGATTCCATCAAAGTCTGGGATCTCTCAGCACAGGGCTCTGTAGAGTCAGCAAGCCTCACCGGACATGAGAGCTCGGTTCTGGCGCTTTGCAAGCTTGGAGACAGCAGCATTGCGAGTGGCAGTTTGGATGCAAGCATTAAGATCTGGGATCTCAGTTCGAAAACTTGCACGGCCACTTTGACGGGCCACACCAGCTCTGTGTGGGCCCTGTGTAGGGTCACGCCCACTCTCCTGGCGAGTGGCAGTGGTGGGGACAAGACCGTTAAAGTCTGGGACCTCCCTTCCAGGGCTTGCAAGGCAACCTTCCAAGGACACCGAGGCGACGTTGTGGCCGTGTGCAAAATCAACTCGTCCACGATCGCGAGTGCAAGTGGCGACAGGGATGTACGGCTTTGGGACCTGACCTCGCAGTCCTGCACGGCCACGTTCACCTTTCACAAGGATTCGGTTATGTCGCTGTGCAGAGTTGGGAATGGCACTGCAAAGCTCGCAAGTGGAGGGCAAGACAACCAGATTTGCCTGTGGTCGTAGACCGTGCAAGTCCCCTTTCCGTGTATAGCATGCCAGGCTGGTGTTTGGATCATCCTTGGCGAGCTGAGTTTCACCAGCACAGCGAAGCAAGTGGTCATGTGTTGCACCATGATCTGGAGAATGGGGGGCGCAATCCCGGAGGGAGAGAACGAGAGAGACGGTCAGCCGGCCAAGGTTTCGATTATCACTTCATGATGGACATGATGAATGCAGACGGGCTTTCCTTCGCCTTCATCCTCGCGTACCAGCTGATAGGCGCGCTCTTTGGACCGGGATGGGTCACAGCTTCTCTTCCACCCGTCAACCGGTGGCTGCTGGGGGGGGTGGGTATATAGGATTAGGAAGTGGTGCTCATGTCCACAGCCTCGACGTCGTGGAATTCAACATCTAACATTGTAGGTGCCACAGGTGCTCTCCACGTAGCCAACAAAATCATGAACCAGAAACCACGAGCCCAATCCATGCTGCAGGCTCCCTCACATTGATGCCGCCTGGCGAAGTCTTGGATACCCATGTTCAACACGACCTCAGCACGGTTGTGTACGAGCTTGATAGAGCTAGCAGAGATGAAAGAGCAAGAGTAGCGTGCAAGTCGCAGCTGGCAGCAGTCAGTAGTCCATTAGCGGCACCCATGTGCTTCCATGGGAATCCTCATTTCTTTTTCCGAAATAGCTTTTGGCCATAATGCTTGTGCTTCTCGTACTCCGGCCAACAACAGGTCTTAATCAAGCAGGCGACAGTTGGTAGACTGCTGCATATGAAAAAAGAATGTCGATGTCCGAGCATTCACCGAAGTCGCTCTCATAGCTTGACGGGGGATCTGGGGCGAGACCGTCCGTCAATAGTAAGACGCTGTTTGCTCGAGGTTTTTTCGTGACAAAACCACACCGTTGCACCGTTGACGACCGAGCTTACAACCCTAAACCCCTGCTCAGCGAAATGCGCTGCAGTATCTGGAGTTTCATCGCTGGACCAGTATCGCTACAGACCTTGCCAGGCTTGTCCGAGTGTGGGTGTCAAAAACTCTAAACCATATATACATAAATTACATAAACCACAAAAAAACCAAGGAACATGCTTATCGGTGTCATGGTGGATGTCGTTGGCAACACCGCCCAGATAGAACAGGAGGTGCGCAGCTGGCCGAAGGTCTTTTCGCCCCACCCGGAAAGTGGCTCCTTATATAAGGCCCAGTTCAGGCCTTCCTCCAGCTAGCTCTCTTCCATATATCCACTAGTAAGACTGATTAAGACTATTTGTAATTCTCCAGGTTCTAATCATACTAGTTAATCGTTCCAGTGAAGTCAGCAATGAGCTCGCGGTTGGAGGGGGCCAGGCGCAGGTACGGAGCTCTGCTTCAAATCCAAGTGGGCAGACGTGTTTTCAGAAGCACGTTAGAAGAACATCTCGCCCCAGTACGGTATCATAATCGTAGCCCCACCCATCAAGTCCAGGGATGTAATTTGGTTGCTCGCTTCGAGTTGGGATGCTCAGCTGAATTGGTCGGGCCGCACCCCACATCCAGCTTGCTGCATATCTTGGGATGCACGACTTGTGTGGCGCTTCAAAGTGCCAGCCGATGGAGTGGTGCAGTAACAGCCAAGTTTTGCAGAAGGCATGTGCGGTGGAAAGCCCACGCAATTCAATTCATGCGAGGTCCGTCACGGTCTTCTGCAACTCCTTGTTGTCCCACCCAACCTATCTGCACGCCACCCGGCCAAGCATCTCAAACCTTTTGAAAATGCTGGTCAGGAGCAGAGCCTCAAGACCTTGAAAAGAGACATCGCGGATGTTGTTCCTGGGCTGCGAGGTTGAGATTTGGAACTTCGAACTTTTCATCAGGATGACAGGAGCATGAAATGGTTGGTACTTTGCCTGGGCTTGCTACTGCGAAGTCAGTTCTGCTTAAACACTTTGTGTTCCCATCACCGAAACCAATGGACCGACGTCAGGTGAAGCTCACCGATGAGAACGAGGATCAGACTGTGACCTCCGTGGAGTTTAATCACATGACTCGTGGCTGAACACTTTAATTCGGAACTCAACATGAGGCAGTCGTCATGGTGATTGCTGCGTGGCCTCGCATTGTTTTGTTCATGTCAGAAGCCGAAGGACGGTGTTCTTCTGTGCTCTGTCCGAATTTGACCCCTTGTCAGCTGCATTTAGCATGTTATGCGCCTGTCTGAGGATCCAGAATCCAGAAGCGGTTCGGAAACTGCGCTTTCCTGAGCTGCCGTATAGTTCTGCTTGAGTGCTGTTGCTAACAACGGATCCAGCAGCGAGACGAAGAGCAGCGCGCCTACACAGAGACACGCGAGCCCACATGGCAGTTGAAATAATGTATCTTCATCAAGATGAGCCGTAAAGACCGAAACTTAGAAACAACCTGATTTTAAGAAGCTCCAGTGTAGGAGGTCGACTCTGCTTACAAGAATCAGTGGGCGAAGTTCTGCGCCTAGGTACGAAGGCGGTGTCAATGTCCTAGCGCTGGTCGACTACGCCGCTGGACGCGAAATGAGCTTAGGGCTTATAACAGTGTTCAGGGTTTTGCGGCTAGGGATTAGGACTCATACAATCTCGGGATTAGGATTTACGGGTTAGACTGGAGACGAGCATGTCAGTTCCGAATCAGCGAAGTCGCAGTAGGCACTTGTAGGGTTTCTTTTCGCGTGTCTTAGCATATCTCGAACCCTTACCCTGCTAGTAGCCGACCTTCGCGAGCTAATGCGCTTTCCTTCATGCACCCTTCCCGAAGCAGCCTCGCCTGCAGCGTCCGAGTTGCGAGAGTCGAAGCCTGCTGCATGTCCTTGGTCTGCAGGGCCCCACCCAAGAGGTGTTCCAGGATGCTGTCAAGCGAAGACGGGTTTGAAACAGCTCAGAATCCCAAACCCTTATGTTGTGCATATGTGGTTTGCTGTCGCAAGCGGCTGAATAGCAGCTGAATAGTTGCGGTGCTGTGTTATAGTGCTGGATTGTCTTGAAGCCGCGCCTGCTTGTGCAAGTGTGCGAGTCGAAAGGCCCCAAAGGTACAGTTAGCCCTACTGAGGCCGACTTTGTGTTCAGAGACACACCAACTTTGACCTTGGAGGACTTTGTCGAGACTGTGCTGCAGTCTCCCGGTGAGAGTACACAGACTCGAGCAGAGCAGCCTTTCACACAGTGGGTTCCTAATTCGGGGTGCAATGATTTAGAGTTGCGATCTACGACCCCCGATGCCATCCAGCAGCCAGCGCTGACCTATCCCAGTCGCTGAAATCGCACCCCACGTTGCGATCTACACCATCAATTCCGTCTCTTTTTGACGTTGTCGTAGACGATAATTTCTCTTTTTCTCAGATCGGAGTGGAAAGTAGCGTCAAGGCGGCCAAAACTCATAGTGTATAGCATAGGCATAGTGCATCGTATCAAGCACAGCTTTCTGAGGTTCCGCGGCTCCAGCCAGGCCACCGTCAAGGCTGGGACGGGAAGATTGTGACTTTTGCCAGCTTGAACATGCAATACTATTCCCAGGGTTTCCCTGATTATCATTATGGCATTATGACATAACATACCACAAGGCTTTCTTCGAATGAAGAGCGGCCTCGATGTTGTATAGTGGTGTCGAAGTCGGAAAGCTATGCTACTGCGGGACTACATTGGTTCGTTGCGCCGACATCTCCGTATTTCTATCCGAGTTATCGAGTGCAAACACCGACAATTCCACAGCTACGTACTCCAATACTTGAAAGGAAAGGGGGCTGCACTCAATTTTCGTGCCACGAAGGCGTTCGGGATTTCGTGAGCACACACACTCCCGTTGTACGTCGTAAACCAGACGGGTGCAGCAAACGCTTGCAATCACGGCATGACACGCTTTTGCTTTCAGAGGTTCTATGGACCTATATCCCTGCCACAAATGCTCTTGGCACGCTGTTGCAAGCACGTGTTCTGTGCCGTCGAATTATAGCTGCGGTTGCCATTGCGGTTGAATTCGGCCAGTGATGCTGCGAGGACGTCGTGGACCTGCGTGTGTACGTTTCCAAGGACAGGTTTCGATAATGAGGGCGAGGGCGAGAATAATGATGAACATCATATGAAGACGGGATGAGGGTGGCTGTTTAAGTTTAGGTGGTACTGGTGTGCTGAACAGAACAGAAGCTTTCACCAAGAGGGTCCTCCACCCTATCAAATGGAGCGATCTTTCGAAGCGTCGAAACCGCCCCCTCGTTGCACCAGCAGGCTTCCAAACTGCTTCAAGGTGTTGCAACTTCTGGTCGGAACCCTGCCCAGTTGAGCCACTTCCGATGACTTCACACTCGGGAAAGGAGCTCGCGAGGCTGGCGGCGGAGACGACTGTGCCTGCGGCAGTCTAGTGCCAAAACTGGCCCAGCCCAACTGATGCCCTGCACATCTCTAGACCTTGAGCCTTGAAATTTCAATTCCCGAAAAGCCCTATAAACCCTAGACCACCTAAGACCTTCGAATCGAAAACTCTCGCGATCGCGAGAGTGTGCCGTCAGACTACGCGGCCCGTGTCACAAGCAGTGCCAGTTTCTGGCACCTGGAAGACGTCTTTGAGTTTTGACGGCTTCACGATTTAGCATTTAGCGGTTTAGGTCCAACGTGTGTGCGGCATTTACGGTTTAGGGTGTTTTAGGGTCGATAGGTTTGAATAGTTGACCCAATGGTTGAACCTGTTGCAGTTTCCGGGTGCATGAAACTGATTCAGCAGGCGTGTGACCATCCGGCCGTGGTCAAAGCACCAAAGGACGTGCTGCATGGCTTTATGCAAGGCTACAATCGTTGCTGGAGCAACCCCAACCCCTGCGTAGACCTTTAAGAGCACGGTCGAAGCAGTATGTTTGCGTTGCTGCTTGCCAGAAGGAGCATGCAGCTCAGGCCTTCTGGCACTGTCTACTCTGCTGTTTTCGACAAATCATGCAGAGAACCCGAATACCTCACAATGCCTGTTGCCTGACGCAAAAAGGCTAGCAGTTGCTGCTCCAGCAGATGCCTGAGTGATTGGCGGGCTCTCCGTTCACGGAGATCCTGCTTGTGCTGCTAGCTGCTAGAACCTGCAAGTCCGATTTCCGCCAATGCCAAGCGCCCGTGCGTTCTCGATGTTTCGGTTTCAGACGTGCTGAAACACCCCACGACCCCTGCAACGGCCCCCACGTGCCACATTCACAGAACGCATGGGGCTTTCAGCTGAGGGCCTGGCCCATGGTTCAGACTACAACACCCCAAAGCCACGAACCCAAAAAGCAGAGCCACCCCAAAGCAGAAATGCATAGCAGCGACGCAGGCTCACAAAAATTCAAAAATCCAACATTGACTGAAGTCGGAGCGCAAGCCCCGGGGTTTAAGGTCAAAAGGCTGTAGGGCTTTAGGGTTTTAGGGGCAGAGCTGCTAAAGCCATGGCGGCCGAGCGCGCTGCTTTCCGCTCCTTGCTGCGGGCATGCCGCCGTGCGGACCGAAGCAACAACCGAGAACCCAACTTACCCCCTTAATTAAGGAATGTAGGGTTTAGCGGTTGAGGGTTTAGCCCCTATGATTTCAGGTGGACTCCTTAATTAAGGGATATTGGGTTCTCAGGGAACAACCGACAAGTTTGACTAGGAGTTGAGCAGCGTAGCAGCGGAACTTTGTAGTGAGCCGAGGCACGGAAGCTAATTATTTGCGGTTTAGGTGAAAGGCGTGTGGCTTCGTGGCCGCTGGGTTTCTGAACATGGTTGGACGATTGCCTCGATGGTTTGGAAAGGGCATCTTCCTAGCTGCTAGCAGATCGGTTGTGGCATAGTCTCTTGGGCATCACAAGGGTCAGTTTGCTGTGCCTGTAAAGCTCGGCATTTGGTTGTCAGATCAGCATCGTGCTTTGTAGCGTCATGAGCAATTGCTGATGCGGCCGGTGCAACACAGATTCTTGCCACTGCGACTGCTGCTGCTTTTGCGCTGCTGCTGCCTCCGGCTACTCCTGCTACCGCTACGACGACGACGACTACTACTCCTGCTCCTGCTTCTGCCACCGCTACTGCTGCTGATTCTACTCCTGCTGCTCCGAGTACTGCTACTTTATTACGACGACGACTACTACTACTGTTACTGTTACCATAACTACTACTACTACTACTACTACTACGACGACGACGACGACGACGACTACGACTGCGACTGCGACTACGACTACGACTACGACTACGACCACGACGACGACGACGACGACTACGACCACGACTACTACGAAGTAGTTCTTCTCGCTGTTGACCACTCCTGCTGCTACTGCTGT